GGTATGCACCATTATAGCAACAACCCACAAGAGGAAATTCCCTAGCTGGTGGTTGTTGCATGTCTTTGGTATTCTTACCCCTTTTGAGCCTGAGGAGTTAGCCTATATTTGGGGCCTTGCTGTGTTGTTTCTGTTAGCAGGTGAAATTGATTATTTAAGTTAGGTATTTTTTTTTTGTTCAGTCCTGTTTATTTACAAAGAATGTACACTGAACACTATAGAACCAAACAACAGAAGGCAGTTTCCTTGCTCAGAAATCCAAGTCTGTGTTTCTAACAAGTGCTGTGTCCAATAGAATCTCTATCCCTTGGCTTCCTCTCAGGGCCACTCTCACAATTGCTTCTTTTACCTTCTGCTGGCTTTCTGCCTCTCAGGGTATGTCTACACAGCTATGTAAGCCTAGGGTTAGTGGGACTTGAGTCAGCTGACCCGTGTCAGGGAACCCTGGGCTTGAGTGACTACATTACATTTTAACCCTAGTGTGGCAGGGTGGACTCGGTCCAGAGGCCCCTTGCTGGGGGCCTCATGGCCCTGCGTCATCTTGCCCCAGAATAGAGCAGTGAGAAATCTTCCAGGCAGCCTAGAGTGGCTGCAGAGGAGCAGCCAATAAGAGGGCCTGCTGGAGTGACCAATAAGGGCCAGAAGGGCCAGATAAAAGGCAAGCAGCAGATCAGAGCCTTCAGTTGCTGTGTAGAGCTTGATGAGAGAGAAGTGGGTGCAGGGATGGCTAGATGAACAGTAGGACCACGGAGTGCTCACCAGACAGAACCGAGCCTAGGGAAGGCTGCTGAAGACCAGGTGCTTGGCTGGCGGAAAGAGCAGCAGCCATGAAAAGGTCAGTGCGGGCAGGCTGAGCCTGGGGGACTGAGCACAGAACCTGGCCAGACCAGATGAGAGTACCAAGATGGCCTTCTTGCTCTGGTTACAGACTGAGCCCAGGGAGGGCTGCGGAAAGGACACCAGCTGAGGATACTGAGATGGGTCCCAGTTGGGTTGTTGAAGAAGGCAGTGCCTCTGGGAAGAAGCCTTACTGCTATGGCCCCATACTACTGCTGGGAAAAGAACTACACTGTCCCCGCTTCCAGGGTGTACAGTCTATGTGGCTTAGCCAGAGGGCTGAATCGCTGAAGATCCGCTGAGAGAACTATTGGCCGGGAGTGTGTCTGTGCTCCTGAGAGGCAGGTGTCACCCTGTAGTAAGAACTAAAAATAAAGAGGCTCGCACCCAACCAACCAAAGCGGTGCTGCTGGTGAGAAGTGGGTGCTGTCCTGCTGAAAAGGACTGTGATTGTAGGCATATCAGCCAGAGAAAGGGGGTGCTCATGAGAGGTGGGTGCTTACCCTGTTACACCTGGTTAAGGATTTTCTGACTTGTGCTTCAACTTAGGGCTCTGGCATCCACAGTGCAGGACACAGACCTGAGCCAAAGTAACCCTATCCCAGAATGCTTAGTGCTCCTCCACATGTCAACACTTCAGCCCTATGAATATGCTGCACTGTGAGAAAACTCTACTGCCCACCCTGTTTCTTAACTGTGACTGTACTATTGATGGGACTCACGTGCCCATAAGGAGCACATGAGTACATAAACTGCAAAATTACCTCCTTTGATGGCTGTCCCAATAGAACAGTGGTCCCCAAACTGGGTGGGGAGGGAGTGCCAGCTCCCCTTGGCTCCCAGCCGCAGTTCCCCCTTCCCCCCCCGCCCCCAGCCACAACTCCAGCCTCCCAGGGATCCCTGGGAAGCTATGGAGAAGTTTTGTGGCTGACTGCCACTCACCACTGAGTTTTGGGGTGGTGAGAGTGTTGGGGGTCATCCCTCCCTTGGTTGTGCTGAGCCAGGAGCTCTGCCACTCCTCCTCCCTATAGGGCAGCCGCTTAGTCCCCGGTCCACCCTCTGCTCCCCAACCTTGCCCTCCCTAGGGCTGTGTGTGCAGGGGCTCTTGTGACCAGGAAGCAGCTCTCTTTGCAAAAAAGCTTCTTCTGATCGGTTTCCATTGAAAACCCTCCAGGATCTCTGATAGTGTGCTTGCAGACCAGTGTTCAGCAGACAATAGATTGACACTGACCTGAGCTGTAGCTGTTTGCAAAGGGAGGTGCACCTTCCCTTTGCAATAGAGTGCAATAGACTACACCACAGATTGGGGCAACTTCCTTAGTCCTCTCTATGCAGACAAACGAACTATGGAATACTCCGGAGGACTTCTGGGACCCAAGTCAAACTGGGATTATGTGGAGAGGCTGAGGGAGCTGGGATTGTTTAGCCTGCAGAAGAGAAGAATGAGGGGGGATTTGATAGCTGCTTTCAACTACCTGAAAGGGGGTTCCAAAGAGGATGGCTCTAGACTGTTCTCAATGGTAGCAGATGACAGAACGAGGAGTAATGGTCTCAAGTTGCAGTGGGGGAGGTTTAGATTGGATATTAGGAAAAACTTTTTCACTAAGAGGGTGGTGAAACACTGGAATGCGTTACCTAGGGAGGTGGTAGAATCTCCTTCCTTAGAGGTTTTTAAGGTCAGGCTTGACAAAGCCCTGGCTGGGATGATTTAACTGGGAATTGGTCCTGCTTTGAGCAGGGGGTTGGACTAGATGACCTTCTGGGGTCCCTTCCAACCCCGATATTCTATGATTCTATGCACACAGGAAAGCAACAGGGCTCCGACCCTTCAGCCTTTCAGGGTTCTGTAACCCTAGGTTTGAACTCTAGGTTAACACAATTGGTGTGTGGACACAAGGGGGGTTTGGCTTGAGCCTGGGCTCAAACCTGGGCTTACATTGCTGTGTAGACATATCTTCACACAGACACAAACAGCTTCAACCAAGCAATCCCTAGCAAACTCTCAGCCTGTATCCTTTAGCTTCTGTTTGGCTTTGCAAGGTATCCATTGCTTTGGGCAGTACTTCCTTTAGTTTCCAACTATCACTACAGAGGGGGACTCTTAATTGCTCCTTTCATTTAGCCACCCATCAGCTTTAACGATGTCTGTGACATCTATAGAGCAAAAGCCTGCTTGATGGGCAGCCATGAACACTTTCTAACATAACAGTACTAAGGCTTGAATTTCATAGTATTGGGGCTAATATGTCCATGTTATATCTTCAGATTTGTGGGCAGCCACTGAAGGCACCTAATTACAGTTAACAGATTTTGATGAATATAAAGGGTTTTTTTATTCAAAATCTCTTTGCGAATGAGTCTCCTAGAGGTGAGCGACTTGATGTGGGTTTAACTAAACACTCAGAATTACAGTTTCAGAATTCTGAAAAAAAAAAAAAATCAACTGTCTTACCTTTCTGGTGTTCTCTGCATTGTAATAAATGATTTCCTTAATTATCCAAGTAATTATGTCAAAGAATAAAAGCAGTTGCTTTTTAAGTTGTTACAATTTGAAATGTACATTTCATATGTAATGTACATTACATATCTACCTTTCATTATCTATTTTATTTATTTATTGGCAGAGTTTTGGTATTTTATAAATTTCTAAAATAAATTAAAATATTGAAGAGCGAGGAAAATTCTTGGTAATTTGGTTTGTAACACACAGCCCAATATAATAGTCAATTCTACATAATATTGAAGAATATTATGTAATTTCACTCTTTCATATTCGGTTTTCATCTTATCTGAATCCCTACAACCACTGAATGTACAAAGCTGCTACAATTAAGTGGCTGTGTTTACAGAGAAAATGATACATTTATAAATTACAACCTAAGTTGATCTCTCGCACACTGGAAAACTTAGCTTTCTGACAGAAAGAGAACTGCTATAAATTAATTGCTATAAATCTCATGGAAAATTGAGACTGAAGACTTTTCTTCTTATTATTTAGAATCCTACAAGTCCTTAGCTGGTAGGTAAAGTCCAGCCAGGTAAAAAGAGAACAACACATTTCGGTTGCTATTCAGTTCAGCTTTTAACTTTTCAGCATAAACAGTAATTGCTTTCAATTTTTAAGTTTATGAATTTCACACAGTCTACAGCAGCAGTCCTGAGGTCTAGATTGAGAATTTTCTGGCAGTTAATGATCAAAGTTAAATTTAAAACTTCCAAGAACCTGAACTGTATCACCTTCTGCAGTCCTGTCATACCTTGCAAGGTTGGGGCAAGTCAGTATTTCACGGTGAAACTTTCAAGGAGTGCCTGAAGTAAGTGCTGAACACCAGCATGGTATTAGAAGGCACTGTGCTGCTGGAGTACTGTCTTTCATATCAGAGGATGAAACAAGGTCCTGATCATATGTGGTCATTAAATATTTCATGTCACTTTTCAAAAGAATTGCAGATTTTATCTATCCCGATTTTTCTAGCCAAAGCTTAGGTAATTAAATTTTGCCTACACTGCCCCTGTAGTTAGACATGGTAGTCTTCATTTGCTGCTGTATAATGCTGTTATGCACTGTTAAATAGATAAGTTTTGTCCCAGAAGTGGTTTCATTTCAACCATGGATAAAATGATCCATTTGCAGAATGGGTACACTTCTAAAGTTTCGTTGGTTTGAAAGCTTCTATCCTTTCCAGTGATATATTTCCTAGCTCTTTCATGAGGAATGCCACTAGGAATGGTAGAAGCTTTCAAAATGATACAAATTTTGAATGGCACCCAATGCATATTAGTTTGTACAGTGGTGGTGGGGGGTCCAGTGGAGAGGGGTGCCCTTCAGGTCCAGAGCTGGAAAACACTTATGCCACAAGTAGTAACTTTACTTGTACAAGCAGTCCCATTGAAGTCAGTGAGACTGTTCATGTGAGCAGAGTTACTCATGTGCACATTGGCAGGGTCTGACCTCAGAACTGTAAAGTACTTTGAGTTGGTTGATTTTTCTATTCTTACAGCATTATCAGCTGACAATTTGTAGACTTCTCTATTTATACTGTTGGTATTTTTTTATTTGTTTATTAATTAAAGAGATGCTACCAAAATCTCTAGGGTATTGGTTTTGCCTAACTCGGTGACCAAAAGTTATTACCATACGACAGCTAACGTATATTAAATGAATTGTTGGCTATGCATTTTATAGTAGATGGGTGTCCCTGTCTAAACACAGCACCATTGGCAGTCTCCGCAAAGAGGTCAAAGGTTTGAAGAGGCATGGAATATGAACTATCCTTGGCTCCCAGTAAAGAGAGTTGAGGCCTATTTAGAAGGCAATCTAAGGAATCTAGCACTGTTGCAGACTGTGTGCTTGCCAATTATATGGATAAAGGACTTCAGTCTCCAGTTCTGTCTATCTGGTAGCTTTCATTTGCAGTAAATCCACTTATCCCCAAAAGAATAAGTAATAAAACATTTTTGTTACTCATTTACAAATGTCCATCTTAGGAAGAATCAAGAAAATAACAATTTGATTTAAATGTTTTAGATCAAGTAATTATTTCAGACTCTTTAAGACCTGAAGGTTTTTTTGGTATGATAAAACAATTGTATAATTCATGTTTTGTACTACACCAGTGACAAACCTATTTTGCTCAGAACAAATAAAATTGTGCTCACGTTTGTTTTTTACTTTTTGTCATTGCATGTTAATAGCATTTTCATTTGATTTTGCCCTTTATTCGCTATCACCAATACCATATGTTTGCTTGCTTGGACCGCCTGTTTTAAAACTGGGTGAATTTTATTATTGTGTCCTCATCAGTATCCTAGCACACAAGGCAGCACATGTTGAAATAATGGGAAGTGTAAGCTTGGAAATGGTATCACCAGTCATTCTTTGAGTGCTGGGCCATTCCACACATGGGAACACGTGTTCCAAGTGCCCAAGTCCAGAGATTTTTAACAAGCAATGTCCATTGGCTCGCAGATGTGCAGTAGATTTCCTTATGCTCCCAAGAAATGGAATAAGAGGCAGTGTAGGTCAATGCCCACTCAGGCCATGAGGTGGTAAGATGGTCCTACATTGGAATCCAGTGTCCTCTCCTGCTTCAGCCTTTCAGAAAATCCTGTAAATAAGATTGTAAATAGTTTATTCTTTTAGCCTAGAACAGTTAGTTTTTAGTAAAGTTACTGTAGTTTGTTTCCCTGGACTGAGGATTCCCTTCCCATAGTCGGGGACTACGCCCAGAGTCCTGGGCTTCAAAAACTGCATTCCTTGCCCTAGATCCTTCTCCATCAGCAACAACTACCAATGCAGCCTCTACTGTCTCGTTGAGAAACAGTTTGACAAAGTCCATCATTTGTCACTCATTTCCACCAAGAACTCATGAAGCCCATGAGATTTGCCTTAGAAAATACTTAATGGAGAAGGACGTGAAGACCCCTCTTTACATTGTCTTCACCAAACAATCAATGCACCCCCCACCCCTTGAGTGTGTGCTTCAAGGAAGAGCCCTTGGTCTCTAAGTCTAAAGACTCTTCCTCCAGGGCTTTCCATGAGATCAAGGGATGCTCTCTTGGCACAAGGACAGATCCCCATCGAGGACTGTCTGTAAGAGACATGCTCCTTCTCTGAGCCCACTGAGGTCGGACAAGTCCTTCTGCGCAGATTCTAAGGAACTGGTTCCACACAAAAAACCCCAGGCTGGAAGGTAAAGCATGATGGGCAGTTGGGTCCTGGAGATTATCCATCAGGGATACTCCATGTAGAGTTTCTCTCCCTCCCTCCTCACAAATCCCCTTCACAGTCTCCCTTCAGGGACCACTCTCACGAGTTGATTCCTCATCAGGAAGAGGAATCCCTATTGCACTGAGGGGCAATAGAGTGTGTCCCACCTCAGTGTCAAGGAAGGAGGGTTCTAGTCTCCATATTTCCCAGTCCCCAGAAAAGAGGGAAACAGGAGACACATTATGGAGTTTCAACAACCCAATATCTTCATTTGAAAGTTGAAATTCAGGATGGTTATGTTGGCATCAATAATCCCCTTCAAGAAGGGATATGGTTCATGGATCTCAAAATGAAGGACACATATGGTCATATAGACATTCAGCCCTCTCACAGGCGGTTCCTAAGGCTTATGGTGGGCTGGAAGCAGTTTCAATTCCAAATCCTCCCCTTCAGGCTTGCAACAGCACCCAGAGTGTTAATGAAAGTTTTCACCACACCATGTCATCCTTACTTCTGCGCTGCTGCTGGCGGCAGCTCTGCCTTCAGAGTAGGGCTCCTGGCCAGCAGCTGCCGCTCTCCAGCTGCCCAGCTCTGAAGGCAGTGCCGCCACCAGCAGTGGTGCAGAAGTCAGGGTAGCAGTGCTGCAACCCCACCCCCTACAATAACCTTGCAACCCCCCCCCCCCCCCCACAACTCCTTTTTGAGTCAGGGCCCCTACAGTTACAACACTGTGAAATTTCAGATTTAAATAGCTGAAATCATGACATTTACGATTTTAAAAAATCCTATGACTGTGAAATTGACCAAAATGGACTGTGAATTTGGTAGGGCCTTACCAATGGGCCCAGACAGTTTTGGTTTCCAGATCTTCTATCAATGTCATCCTATCCTCCTCCAGACAAAATCTATCCCTTCCCCGAACGCCAGATGGAGGACAGGGGCAGGATCAAACACCCCAACCCAGGCTCTCTCCCTGTCGCAGACTGATGTCTGGATGGGAGTTAGAAGTAGAGTGCTCTTGTTCATCACCTCTCCAGGCTATACTTAGAGTAGAAAACAATCCAAACTAGAACCTATTGTTTGGGTGAGCCTGATAGTGCTGCACCCATCTCTCCTATCATTTTAGATTACCTCCTGTCTCCAAAGAACTCTTGTCTCTCCGTCAGCTCATTATAAATCCACCTAGCAGCCACTAGTGCCTCCCACCCTCCAGTAGACGGGTGGTCTGTTTTTATGCACCCAACTATGACATGGTTCATGAAGGGCCTTGTCAAGGTCTTCCCAACAGTCATTAAATCAACACCGCTATGGGATCTTAACCACGTGCTGTCAAAACTTACTGGTCTTCCATTTGAACCCTTAGTGACATGTTTCATGAGTAGGTGGGACATGGAGGTGGTGTTTGTAGTGGCCCTCATTTTGGCCAGGAAGGTGAGCGAAGTGGGAGCTCTTATGGTGGACTCCCCCTTTATGGTATTTCAAAGGGACAAGGTATCCCTTCACCTTCACCCTCAATTTCTACCCAAGGTCTTCTCTGAATTCCATCTTAACCAGTAGATTCACCTACCTGTCTTTTTTCTGAAACCCCATGCTTTGTCTGAAGAGAAGAGACTTCACGCCCTCGATGTCAGGGATGCATTGGCCTTTAACCTGTAAAGAACCACGCCCATCAGGAAGAATCTGAGACTTTTTTTGTGATAGCAGAATGATCCCATGGTCAAGCTATATCCTCTCAGAGGATTTCTAAGTGGGTTTTTGGCTGAATTATCAAATACTGCAAACTGGCTTGCATCTCACCTCCCAGTGGTAAAATGGCCCACTGCATGAGAGCACAGGTCACCACAGTAGCATCCCTGCAGGAGGTCCCAATGCAGGACATATGCAGAGCAGCCACCTGGAGCTCCATACACATGTTAGCTAGGTATTATGCTCCAGTTTAGGCCTCTGCTGCGGATGCAGCAGTGGGCTCTGCAATACTGCACGCATCTTTATTGCTGGCTTCCTTGCACCAACCTCAAGTCTGAGTACTGCTTGTCTATCACCCACGAGTGGAATACACAGGGACCATCACTCAAAGAAATGGAGGTTACTTGCTGTAACTGGAAGTTCTTCGAGATGTGTGGTTCCTGTCTGTATTCCACTACCTGCCTCCGTCCTCTCTGCATTTGGATCTGGATTGGATTCACTGTGAGAAGAGGAATTGAGGGGGTATTCGCCCTCACTGTGTCTTATACCCTGGGAGGCACAAGGACATCTGCTGAGTACGTGCGGGCCAATGGACACTGCTTGTTAAAATCTTCAGACTCGGGCACGTGCACACCCAGGTGTGGAATACAGATAGGGACCACACATCTCGGTGGAGGAACTTCCAGTTTACGTAAGTAACCTCCATTTTCTGACTCCTCATTTTGTGGGGAGGACACAGTATTTATATGAATATCTTAGACAATACCAGTAACCCAGAAGACAGCCATTCTGAAGAGGTCAGATTTTCCCAGGAGACAAAAGACAAGACTTGAATACAAAATGAGCCACAAATAAGCACAAAGGGCCAAATTCTGCTGTGTTGCACTGGTATAAATCCATTGAAGACAGAGAAGAAACTCTGGATTTAAACCAGTGTATGTGAAAACCGAGTCTGAGGCACAAAATTGTATTTTCCCAACTCTGGCTCTTATCCTTTGCTTTGTGTCTCCTTCTTTACTTAAGAACATGGTGCAGCTACCAGGTGATTTACAATACCTAGTTTGTTAACTAGTGCTCACTCAGAAACCGCCTTAAGTGTGGCAGGATAAATATGAACTGCGATTGTAGCACTGCTTTCCAAATTCAGAACTCTGCTGGGTGAAGTTTTGCTTTTCCCCACTGCTACACTGCCAGGGGATGAAGAGAGAAAAGGTCCCCAAATCACCTAAACAAAAATGACATTGCTTAGGCAATTGAAATCCACTTCTTGCATACCACGCAGCTTTCCGTGTGCTTTAAACGAAAGAAACATTTGTTGGTGTCTCCCCTGCAGTGTTTAACTCATTTGTGATGTTATTCCTGGAGTAGTAATGAGCTCCTTGTGGAATAGTCTCCATGGAGGTTCCAGTGCTGTGTTTGCCAGATAAAATACTATGGTATTGTTTTTCTTATTCCTCCTTTAGGCCCTGATTCAGGAAAGCATCCTTATCCAGACAGCACTTAAGCACATCCTTAACAGCTTCTGCCTAAAGTTAAGCACGTACTTAAGTGCTATTCTAAACAAAGATGGACCTAGGCACTTACATGCTTTTCTGTCTCATGGGCCTTATTACATTATTTTCCAGAAAGATTAGTTCACTATTGATTTTTGCTGAGGAGGGATGCTAAGAGGAGGGAAAGAAAGGAGACAATAGCTCTGTGGAAGGAAACTTGTATCACCCTCACTTATTTGTGGTTACTTACTGCCCAGAGAATGTAGAAACTCTCCTATGAGTTATATAGTTCAGCTATCACCAAAACACACAGAACTCTGGTCTCTTGTCACCCCCTTTTCTTGTAATATGATTAGGAATAGGAGGAGGCAGTATATGAGGATTCATAGATTCCAAGCCCAAAAAGGACCACTGTGATCATCTAGTCTGATCTCCTGTATAACAGAGGACATAGAACTTCCCCAGAATAATTCCTTTTGAACCAGAGCATATCTTTTAAAAAAACATCCACTCTTGATTTAAAAATTGCCAGTGGTGGAAAATCCACCACAGCCCTTGGTAAATTGTTCCACTGTTAAAAACAGTGGGACGAGAAAGTGACTTGCCCAAAGTTACACAGCCCATCGGGGCAGAACCAGGAATGGAACCCTGATCCCCAGTCTAGCATCCGATCCACTGGCTTACAACTAATTGTTGTATTACAGAAGTGCCTAGACACCCCAAATGAGACACTAGAAAGACTACTGTGATCATCTAGTCTGATTTATAGATCAGGAGAGGCATGCGGGGAGTCAATGTGACCTACTGGGTAGGGTAGGGCACTGGACTGGAAGACTGGGGTTCTAGTCTCAGTGCTTCCACTGATGTGCTGTATGACCCTGAGTATCTTACCTCTCTGTGCCTCCATTTTCCCTCCCACCCATTGTCTGTTTATTGCAAGTGCTGCAGGGACTGTCTCTTACTATGCGTTTGTGCTATGTCTACTAGAATGGAAGCCTGAATCTCAGTTGGGGTGTCTAGGTTCTTCTAAATTATTAATAATGCTCTGCTTTCCCCTTTGTTTATTTCTGAGTGTTCTGCTATCCACTACTGGGACTGATTGTTCATCAGTATAAATCTTGAGAGGATCCCAGGAAGGACCTTCTTTGCATTCAGTGTTGGCCTATCTGTGCTCCCGTTTAAGTGAATGGGAATTTCACTGCTGACCTCAGCTGGAACAGAGTTAAACCAATGCTGCAAGCACATTGCAAATTACCTAATATGTCTTAAGTTGGGCATTCAAAAATTGAGGCGCACACATTGAGTGGCCGCTTTTGAAAACGTTGGCCTAAACTTTTGGTAGTGTTTGACACAATATAGTTTATACTCTGTCCCTCATTCTGTAATGTTTGCCAGAGGGTATGAGTACACTGGAACTGGAAGGGGTGATTCTCCGCTCAAGGAGACACACCCATACTAGTTCTGATAAAGCTAATGTGGTAAAAATAGAAGTGTAGCCACCGTGTGGCATGAATTGCAGGAGGGACTAGCTTCCCTGAATATGCACTTAGGGTCTCAGACAGGATCATACTTGGGGTGGCTAGCCCATCCCACTGCTCATGCTGCTGCAGCTACATTTCTCTTTTTAGCACACTAGCTTGATGAGAGCTAGCACAGGTACGTCTGCTTGACTTGGAACATGCACTTTCAGCTCCTGTGTAGCCATATCCAGAGCATGGTTCTGGTGATTTAAGATTGTGGCACTAGAATGCAAGCTTGTTGGGGCCAGGGACCTTTCCTCCTATGTATTTTTAATACTGTCAAGCACTGTACTCATCTTGGAACTATGTAAATAATAATTGTACTGGTGTCCTTATCCCTGATGTTAGTCTTGTCTTTTGTCTTTTGCAGCACTTTTACAAGCAGTAATAGACGGTGATCTTCTGAAGGTACGTACCGCAAGTTGAGTTTCTCCCTCTTCTCAGCTATTTGCAGCTGTGATGAACTATGAGTTATAGTCTACTCCTCTCTCAAAACATAAACATACTGCTGTAAACCTTGATCACCAAATGCCACTTGCAGGGTACACTGAATATTAGAGGAACAACAGCCAAGTGAGGTATGATTGAAATTCAAGTTAATAGGATCTGGTGTTATATTGCACCTTTCATACTCCAGGAATCCCAAAGTACTTCACGGAGCAATGGGTTGATTACACAGTAAAGTGATTATGTAGGCAAATGCAGTGCTGAGCAATACATTATTATCAAGCCAGCCTTGCACAATAAAGCTTGTTTTACTGAAAGGGGAATGTTGGTCAGAACACTGGAGTTGTCCCCAACTCATTTAAAAGAGTGTAAGGATATTTTTAATTTCCACCTAGACAATTACAAAGGTAGGAAGAAGGGACTTTGGTTTACTATCTCATGATAGATAGTCTCTGCTCCCCTTCACACTGCACTGTAATGTCAGGATTAACTATGAGCCAAGTTCTTCTGACATTTAGAAGGGCTTGAAACCCAAAAAATCTTGGCCCAGCCCTAACTGTCAGCTATTGGCAGCTCTCTCAGGAAGGAGGAAAGGGGGCAGAGGGAATGTGTTTAATTCCTATAAGTGTGAAGCTCACTTTTGATGATTGCAATCCCTATTTTTCAGCAGCTAAGGGTGCATTTACACAGTGAATAAAAACCCCATGGCAATGAGTCTCAAAGCCTGAGTCAACTCACTCAGGCTTAAACAACAGGAGTACTTGTGGCACCTTAGACTAACAAATTTATCTGTGCACAAGCTTTTGTGGGCTAAAACCCACTTCATTGGATGCATGCAGTGGAAAGTGCAGTGGGAAGATATATATACACACAGAGAATACGAAACAATGGGTGTTACCATACACACTATAACGAGAGTTATATCACTTTTGTTATAGTGTGTATGGTAACACCCATTGTTTCATGTTCTCTGTGTATATATATATATCTTCCCACTGCATTTTCCACTGCATGCATCCAATGAAGTGAGCTGTAGCCCACAAAAGCTTATGCTCAAATAAATGTTAGTCTCTCTAAGATACCACAAGTACTCCTGTTCTTTTTGCAGATACAGACTAATACGGCTGCTACTCTGAAATCACTCAGGCTTGTGGGGCTAACAATAGCATTGTAGATGTTCCTGCTCAGTCTGGAACCTGGGCTCTGAAATCTGACATTGGGGGTAGGTCTCCCAGCCTGGGTTCTATTTTTAGCTCTGTAGCACAAGCCCGAGTCAGTTGACCCAGGCTCTGAAACTCGCTACCACTGTTTTTTTGTTTTGGGGTTTTGGGGTTTTTTTTTTTTTTTTTGCTGTGTAGATGTACCGTAAGTGGTTGGGATTTGCACACATGCCCCTGAATTTGCGTGAGTATTGTGACTAACAATTGCAACATTAACTGGAAAAAGTCTTGAAGCTATCTGAAAAAGTGGCAATTCTGTCACTCCTGATCTTTGCCTATAGATACACACCTCTACCCCCACTATCCCACTGGGCAGCAGTAGTGATGATTCACTGTAACCACCATTCATTTCTACAATGTTGCCCTTTCCCTCATATCACATTCTAGTCTGAAATTTACAGCACAGTTTCCCCATCCCTTAAGGCTACTGTAATTTATATGGTGCAACTCCCCCTTGAATCTTCTTCAGGTGCATCATGACTTTGTGTCATTGCATTATGACAATGGGATATTATGTCATCTCAACGCTGTTTTGTAGTGTTTTTTACAAATTCCCAAAGCCTGCAGCAACTTTAAAGAGCAATCACCTGCTCTTTCCTGCCTTCCCAATGCGGATCTTCCCCTACAATGAGATCCAAGTAGAAAAGTGTGTGTGTGGGTGTAATATATGAATAAGGAAATAGAAGGTACAGCACCTGATCTCTGGCATGTTGGTTTCCTTACAGAGGTTCAGATCTTCTCGGGGCAGCGGTAGGAAAGGCAAGGCAGGGAGACTTTGGGGAAAGGCCCAAAAACCTAATTCTTAAAATATTCTTCTCATTATATCCGCTGCAAATACATACAAGTGTATTTAGGAATGATTCTTTCTTTTGTGCTTAGGGCCCCTACTGGCTAAAAATATACATGGGAATATACATGAAAATAAAAAGAGCAATTTACTATTTCCACACAATATACAGTTTGTACCCAATCCTGAACACATAGGCCATTCACAAATTCATATACAGACTTAGACTGAAGCACCACCACTGTAATAATATGTATTCATACAAACACACAGCGATCCACCACACATCTGCATAGGGCATAACCAAGACATGCACATAAAACCCGTATCCCAATCTCTGCAGATGGACTTGAGGCATAAGGCACCTGAACTGCAACTCCCATAAGGCACCGTGTAATTCCAAATACATTTTTTGCAGTTTGGCTCAATTTTGTTGGTTTACTTATGTTTGGTTTTGTTTGATTGGAAAGTTAAAATGTTCCACAGAAAGCAAACACTTTTTGTGAAATGTTTAGTTGAAAACACAATATTTCATTAATGTACAAACAAACAAAAACCTCAAATAATTTCAATGATTTTTCTTTTTGACCAGCCCTACTTGCAAGCATAATTCATCTACAGTATATCACCAATGATCCACTGCTCAGGAAACGTAATTTGACATTGTTAACTCAGTGTGTTGTAAGCCTTGCTAGTTTTAGGTCAAAAGCCTTTGCTGTGCATTGTAAGGGCCTAACGGTTTGGCTAGTGGTTACCACTGCTCTTTTTAGCCACCTGCTAGCAAATCTGACAGTTAATTTACCTGCATGTTTATTTACCTGTGCACCTTGTCCTACAGTTTTCTTGTCCTCTTCCTGTGCATTTACATTCCAGTTCATAGAATGCTGTAAGAGAGGAGCTAATCTGTTAATCCAGGGACCTGACCACTGTTCCGTGCTTCACCATGCTACCAAGACTGGGCACCTTGAAATTGTGAAATACATCTTAGAACATGGTAAGTAATTGTGTGCAAACCCACAGAGAATCACATTCCATGAAATAGCCGTAAGTGTCACTGTGGTTGAATAAAAGTTTACTCACAACCCCTTATCAATCTGTCCTCCTGCAGCATGTTGCTATGGTTTTGGAAGAAGTGTTGAAGCTAGCCCTAGATAAGAGTGAAGAGTATAACAGGACAACTTTGTAGGAGACGCAACATTTTCATAGATTATAAAACCAGAAGGGACTGTTGTGATCATCTAGTTTGATCTCCTACATAACACACTGAATTCTGTAGTTTCCTTCATTGAGCCCTCTCTCCAGACTGCCTCTCAGAACACACCTGGCCTGTGTACTCATCCCCCATCCGTCCCCAATATTTCCCTCAGGCACATCTTCCATGTGTACATCCCAATGGAATTCTAGCACAGTTAAACTTATGTGAAGACTCAAGATGAAGTAGTAGTTGAAGCTAGCAGGGACATGAACAGGAAACCCATGAGAAGGAGTCTCCTCAGCAAATGGAGAAAGTGTGAGGAGGCTATGGCAAGATTAAACAAAGACCACTCATAGCATTGAGCAAACACCAGCCCTGTTTTCACCAATCTGGCAGGAACCCCCTGAAACCTTTCTAGATCCTCTTCCTCTGGGTGTCTCAGCTGCCTTGTTTGTATAAGTCTCTGGGGAATCTGACTAGGGATTGGCAATGCACTAATGGAGGTCCACTCGCTCTCTACACCTGCATCCAAGAAATTAATAAGTCATTTCTACACAGGACACTTCTCATTCTTTGATAATCTCTCTGAGCCAACTTGCTGAAGGTTCATCAGTGTAATGTTTCTGCTTCTCTAAAGTACTTTAAAATGTAGATTGTGGCCCCTAGCACCTTATCAGTATTCAGAGCATGAGGTGTATTAATCAGTGATTCAGATGTTTTCTGACACTTCCTAATATCTTATGCTTCCCCCATAAATCATTTTAGCTAATGTCCATCCTTTCTCATATGAAAAGATACTGGAATGGTTTTTATCCCGGCTACTGCCTCAATCCCTGCCCAGTCATGTGCTCCTGTAGTGTCTGCTGCCTATGCACTCTTGGATATGGCTAAGGTTAATGGGAGTCACACTGCAAAATACCTTCCAGGGCACGCTGCTGAAAATCCAGCACTAAATCATGTAGGGAAACGTTCTGAATCTTCAAAAGGATTAGGCAGAATTTATAGATTCCTCATATTGAACTAGGGATGTGAATATAACATGATAAAGAAAAGGTAAATCCAATCCCATGTGCTCAGAGGTGGGGGAGGAGGGAAAAGGACACATTAATGTAAGGAGGCCCTTTGTGATGATGGGCATATGCCACTTTCAAACACACCAGTGTCGTCATGAGGAGACACTGTTCCATGATTTGGATCTGAAACATTTCAGATGTTAAGAGAAAAAAAAAGGTCTCAAATAAGAAAAACCATAGGTTAGTCATATAAAGATACTGTTTATGCGGCAGTGTATTTATGAGTGCGCTGGAACAACCCGGCATAATCCCTGGAATGACAATGCAGGTACAAACTCAGTAGGCATCAGAATCACATCTGTTTATTGCTGGAAGGTGAGTGTGATGGGATATGCAGACCCCATACTGAGCAAGAGAGGATTAATGAGAGCCTGTGGGCCCAATCAGCCCCATCCTGTTATATCTGTGCAAGGAAGAAGGAGATAAAAGAGGAAAATCCCAGTTCATTGGTGGCTGACTGAGAGAGGGAGTAGATATCTTGAACTAATCCTGTGAAGAAAGCCTTGGCTGGGGCCAGAGACTGCCTTGAAGCTGCCTGAAAGGAAGAGCCAACTAGGGCTAGAGCCTAACCAGAGACTCATATGAGTCATAGCCCCCTTGGGAAAGATAGGCCAGGTGCAGGACCCCTGTTTCTTTTGTTTCTCATAAGTGGTTTGGCTCTCATTTGTTTTGGGACCAGCAGAAGAGTCAGCAGGCTAAGAGACTGTGAGGAAGGCCTAGGTACAGGCCATGGGAGGAAGCAATCTAGAGAGACAGCAGAGGATCTCAATAAACGGACCTCATCTGTTTCATACAGGGTCCCTGGACTGGAACCCAGAGTAGAGGGTAGGCCTGGGTTCCTCTACCAGCCTACCTAGAACGGGGCATGAACATCCCAGAGCCTACGGCTGACAAGCCCAAAAAGCCTGAAGTTGGGCAGAACCTGATGCTGCCAGGTCATTGGCCTGTTGGACTTGTGTTTTCCCAGAAGGCCCGGAACTAAAAGTGACCTGGCTGGATGGCCAACTCACAGGAAGAGGAAGATCACCACAGGGCCAGGTTGCTGTCAGTGGGGGGCACCAAAGGAAGAGGAGAGCTGCTACACCCTGCCCAGCCAGGAGAGGATGCACATGCAGTGAATAGACTTTTCTAGAAGAGTATAGAAGCAACACTTTGCTGGCTCTTTGTATGGCTGTAACAAAGAAGTTTTCCTCTTTCTCAGAGGCAGGAAAAACAGATACAAAACCCTGAACTTCCTCCCAGGATTCCCAGAGTCAGGGGTCCTTCCCATATGGGTGGGGAGACACCCTTTAGAAACTCTGAGTGGACCAAGAAATGCCCCAAAAGCACAGTTGCTCTGTTACACTACGGAAATAAATCTGTTAGATGAGCTAATCACTTAAATAATCTAGGTTTCAGAGTTGTAGCTGTGTTCATCTGTATCAACAAAAACGAGTCCTTCTGGCACCTTAGAGACTAACACATTTATTTGGGCATAAGCTTTCATGGGCTAAAACCCACTTCATCAGATGCATGGAGTGAAAAATACAGTAAGTAGTATATCTATGAAAAAAAGGGAGTTACCTTACCAAGTGGGGGGTCAGTGCTAACAAGGCCAATTCATTTAAGGTAAAAGTGGCCTATTCTCAACAGTTGATTACTTTTGTAGTGCTAATGAGACCAATGTAATCCAGGTGGACATCCACCTTGTTTCTGTTGGAAATGGGTGACGTCCACTTTGATTGCATTGTAGAATAGTGAGATGACACTGATAGATATTGTGCTAACTTTTTGTTGAGATGAGGCAGAGCTCGTGGAATTTCAGTCAGTATGCGCAGCAGTAGGCCCAGTCCTGAACAATCCTCTAACCTCAAACTTCAACAGCCTTGCTACCCTCAAAATATTAAGGTGGAGTTGTACTCTGAATATACACAGGGAGCAGATCTATTGAGTAGGAAGGTGCCATTTTTAGTCCTTTTTCAGAGTCCTATCAGTTTACTTTGGTGAGAAGGACACAATTTTACCACTGTTAGCACTGAAGAGCCAACACAATTCTGGGAGTGTAAACTGGATTCTATTTTGGCTCACATCATGAACAGAATTATTAGGTAAATTCCAAATACAGGGCCAAATTCTGCCCTAAATGACATGTATGTAATCCCGTTGAAGGCACAGGGATTGCATAACTGTGCTAAGCACATAACTGGAAGAAAGTGAGGTTGCAGTGGTATAACTGAGTGCAACATTTGGCCTGCAAAATCTTTGTTGCAAAATCAGGTACCTAAGCCAGATAGACCACTACATGGCTTTGCTATCCCAGTTTGAAGTTGGCAGATAGAAAATCCATGTTTTTACTTTTAAGCAAATTTTATATGGAAATTATTGAGAGACAATAAATATGGAAACCCACAATGTCACTTTTCGAAGTAGAGCCCCATCATTAAGTCATGGGGAAGACCCTGAGTCAAGTTAAAAAGACATCAACTGTAAAAGACAGTTACTATTATCCCCTCTCTAGGATTAAAGTTGAAGGGGAAACCTGGGCGGTTCTATAACATTGCATACAAATATCTTTTAAAAATGCTTCCAGTTTTAAGGATAGGAACCAAGCCAATTTTGTTCCCCAAATATAAGCGATATTCAAGGTATTATGCAAATCTGACATGCTTTTGCCCAGACAAAGCAAACTAGACATCCAGAGGCACTGACAACCTCAAACATTATTATTATTATTTTATTTTAAAGAAAATCTTCCACCCCTCTTCCCCAGTTTTATAAAGTGAGGGTTAAGAGGGCCTTTCACTGACACAAGTTAATGTCTGTGCACCTTCCAGAAGGCGGGAATCTTTAGGAGTAGCTTTAACAGCCTCAGTTGGAAGGGGTAGGGTTTGCTGCACATATTGAGGACTTTCAGCCTGCATGGTGCCATAGATTTTGGAAATGCCTTGGAAATGTGGTCAGTTAGTTTCTTTTATGTTGTAATGAGCTCAGCTAAAGGGCAGCTGTTTGCTTTGAACATCTCACTACTTGTCCCTCCCCAAAACCCAGACTGCTATGCCTTCTGAGAGATCAGAGAGCGGGTTTGGTGGAACAAATGGGGGAGAGGGAGGGAAGAAAAAAGTTAATCTTTCTGTGTGAAATTACTATCAGACATTAAGGACATAGTGTGATCCCAGCTGGTCTTCTCCTTGATGGTTCTTGCTTTTCAGCTCCTTTCAGGCGAACTTCCGCCCCGACCCTGTCCCCTATTTTATTTTTCCTGGGCCTTTTTTTATTCCTCCACCTCCCAACACATTTCTATCTTTTGTTTTTATTTCCCCCCTGCTGTTTTCCTTGATAGAACTCTCACTCATGCATTTCCCTTCCGGACTTCTATTGGGTTATTTTGTCATCTCCCTCTCTGTGCCTCAGTCCCCTTTTCTTTCTTTGCCTCTAGTCCTCAGTAAAACAGGCAGCTCCCCACTGGGCCAGGATGACAGTGCTGTTAGCTTTCCCAGTGCCAGCCTTTCCCACATCTGTGCAGCTTTTGTCCTGCACCAGAGGGGGATTTGGAATGGTCAGCTGGCAGCGCCAGGGAGACTGATATAAAAACAAGGTCCAAAAAGAGGGGTTGGGGAATTAGAAGGAAGGCATGAGATGGTTTAAGAAAAGCACTACTGAACATAAATAAGGGCCCAGCTTAATATTATTCATGACTCAGTGCCTCCAGTTTCAGCTGTAAACGTAAGAGAACAAAACAACAATCTGGGTACCATATTCTGTGAATTGCATACTACCAGTCTCTGACCCTCAGGCTGGCTGTGATAGTTGGGATGCTCTGATAAATAGCTTAGTTCAGTGTAATCTCATATAACCCCCCCTTACCTAAAGTGGCAGAACATGTGCTGGCTTTCTTATTTTTATATTTTTTTTTAGAATGCTTTTTTGAGCCCCTCACTATCAGCCCTATCCCCCTTCACCCTAATTTCATCCCCTTTCCATCTCAGTCCAATTTTCCCTCCTTCTTGATCTCCCTGCTTAGCAGGTCTAATCCCCCATCACTTTAACCCAGCTCCTTTGCCACCCCAGACCAATTATCACATACCCCTGCTCTTTCTCCCCTGATGCCCTAGCCCAATTTCCCTTTTTACCCTTACTCTATCTTCCAAGGCACTTTCCACACCCAGTCAAACTGTCTTCCCCTCTCCCCACGCCACTCCTCACTCAAAGTCATCTCCATGCCCAAAAGAAGTGTGTATGTATCTGGGAGGGCCAAAGCTCCAGCTGTGTTTCCCAGTGGGCTACAGTGTATTGTCTAAGCCCAATAGCTAGCAAATGGCAACGTTGGTAAGCTGGAAGAGCATCATTGCCTGAAAAGAATACTCTTTTGACAGACATTAGATTTTTTTTTCTTAGTTGCCTGATTCTAATGGAATGAGAACATTCAAATTTCATGTTCCCGCTTATCGGAGTGCAGGGGCTTCAGAGCCTCAAGGAGTCACCTGTTTTCCTCCCTCCATGCTCCTAGGTCCATCACCATATCTGACTACCTTTCTAGTCAAGGAGGTTTGAATGTGGAACCCATCATTGTTGCTCCTTATTAAGATTAATGCTGTGTAGCACTTTGAAAATGTAAAGTGTTGTATATGTCTGTAGTATTATTGTTGGACTACAGTGTAGCCTTTCCAAGTAGAAACAGAATGTGCTATGCCTATAGCACCCACAGTCCCTGCTGTGTGGGGAGTGGGCCCACTAAGCAGCTAATTATGGGAGCAGGTTCCCTAGTAGCTGGTGAAATCTCAGTTGCCAAAAGTCCCCGTATGAGGTTCGAGGCCATTGCAGCAGCCAGTGGAGCCATTTAAGCATGTTGCTGGTAACTTGGGGGCAAACAGTGAAGATTTCTCCAGTGTAAGGGTATGGGGAATGGGATTGCTTTTCCAACCTCCCACAGTGTGAAGATGGAGGAGGAAGGTAGTGGGCCACCTACAATTCCAGGAGACAGCCTGTTGGCTTCCCCCAGTGATATTGAAAATGTTTGTTTTTGGGGAGGGAGTATAGACCATTGGGTCCTGTTCTCCTCCCTTCCAATGCACCCACAGGAAAACAGCAAAAGAGGAAAAGAAGAGGGGTTCTATTTTGTGCTTGTGTAATGAATAGTGTAAAACTTGGTGGTTTCAGATGAGACTTGCTGTAAACTTTGCAGGATCATTCAACCTGAAAGTCAAAGTTGAATTTGGGGGATATGAACCCAAAGGAAGTGAAACTTCAAAGAAAGGTTCACCAGACCCACCTCTAACCAAACCCACAATATTAGGCACAGTTTGGCTGAATATTGTTCTAACCAGTAAATCACAGAATGTAAAGAATACCATGTGACCTATGTGAGAGACAAGCTTTTGAGCTTACCCTCACTTACAGGTCTGTGTAAGCTTGAAGGCTCGTCACTCTCACCAACAGAAGTTGGTCCAATAAAAGATATTCCCTCACCCACCTTGTTTCTTTAATATCCTGGGACCCACATGGCTACAACAACACTGCATATGACATGTGACTTTCTTTCACAGGTCCATCTGAGTTACTGGATATGACAGACAGTGAAACGTAAGTGCAACCCACTTGACACCCACTTCCTTCAATGATTGATTTATTTCACTTTACTTCCATTTGTGCTCATTGGAAATCTCTTGGTGCGGTACAAAAGTTAAAATAAAAATGTGTGAAAATGGCAGACTTCTAAAAAAGGAGTCCCAACCCCAATGAACACCACACCTCTCCTCCCAAGCTCCAAAACAAACTCTATTATCTCCCCCATCTCCTAATTACCCTAATTCTCCTAGAGCAGGGGTTCTCAAACTGGGGTTTGTGATCCCTCGGGGTCAAGAGGTTATTATGTGGGGGGTCGCGAGCCGTCAGCATCTACCCCCAAGCCCCGCTTTGCCTCCAGCATTTATAATAGTGTTAAATATTTTTAAAAGTGTTTTTAATTTAAAAGGGGTGGGTCGCACTCAGATTTGCTGTGCGAAAGGGGATACCAATGCAAAGGTTTGAGAACTACAGTTCTAGAGGAAAACAGGTGAGATTTGCTATGTCCTGACACTCACTGAATCCAGGCACTGAGCGCCCAAGAGGGATAGTAAATTCCAAAGGCAAGAGAACTTCTTGCTGACAATGCCCTCCCACAAGCAGAGAGAATTTTTATCTCAAATAGTCAGAACCCAAACCATTTTGGACTTTCTAGGGTTAAGCCACATCTGCCCTATGATTAGGGTGATCAGATGTCCCAATTTTATAGGGACAGTCCTGATATTTGGGACTTTGTCTTATATAGGTGCCTATTACCCCCGTCCCCCCGTCCTGATTTTTCACATTTGCTGTCTAGTCATCCTATCTATGACTCCTTTGTGCTGCCTGTACTGAGCTGCCCCAAAAGGGCCATAATAGGATAAGCATAGCCTTGTCACAGGGGCTGCCAGTGCCCTGCAAAGAACTAGCTCTGCCCCATCTCCACAGAAACCTCCACTGCAGGGAGCACTCCAGAGTACGCTGGAAGAGGGCATGAAGAGGCATGCTTGGAACAGTCCCGTGCACCAGTGATTCTGAAAGAGGCCATTGCAACAGAGGTGCAAGTCAGGGCAGCATTCAGGGCTTCCCTGGCCTTCGCCGAAGGTTGAACCATTCACCATCTAGTCCTGAGAAGGGGAGTTGCAAACCACTGCCTTTCTGTCCCTGCATTAGCTCTAGCACCAGCACAGGCATGAATCTGTCCCTTAGTTCTCAGCTGGAAATCAGCGGGCATCTAGTGCTGCATCTTTGATCTTTTCATATCCCACCCAGAGCACACGTTCTCCTCCACGTCCTCACCAGATGAGGAAGATTGCCGCAACTGCAGTGGTATCGTGAGACGGTCTCCGCATCCTGGGAGGCCCACTCACAGGATACTGGGGCAGTCAAAATCAAGACTATCCTGTGAAAAGCAGAATGGTTTAGAGCTTTAAAGTGAGTGCAGAGCTCCAGCTGTGGAGGACTAGAACACTAGCTCACTGATGGAGGGCCGGAAGAGGTGGGGATCCGTGATCAGGCAACAATATGGTGCAAGCGCTGACTTTGGCATGCAGGAGTTTGACTTCCATGTATCTGTCCCTGCTTGCAGGAGCCAAAGTGTCATAATATTTAGTTTGGGTAGGAAATAATAGAAAAAAACCACCACTGTTTACCCTACAGTGAATTAACAGAAAGGCAGCTCACTTGCTCTTCCAGCAGCCAGCAGAATGTGGTGATCTGTTTCTGCAAGAGTACCAATATGAAGGAAATATATGAAGGCAACAGTTCCTGTTCCCTTCCCCACCCGCCCGGAAGCACTCCGTCTGCCGTATGTGCATTATAAGCTGCTCTACTGATCCAGAGAGCATGCAAGCTGAGGGAGAAAGTGTACGTGTCTATGCCAAGGATAACAGGAGAGATCCTCACAAAAATGCTGCATTTTTCATTTTAACTTATGGCTAGTTTCCTCTGCTTTGGTTTAGGGGTGAGACAGCATTGCACAAGGCGGCCTGCCAGCGCCATCGTGGCATCTGCCAGCTCTTGGTGGATGCGGGAGCGTCTCTAAGAAATACAGATTCCAAGGTAACTAAACCAAGTGAACCAATTATAAAACACTTTAGACAAGCGAGACCAATCAGCAACTGTTCCTGCTGTCTGCATGATTGAGGGCCTTTATATGTTCCAAGAGCATTTCTTTTCAAAGAAGTCATTTTATTTAGAAGAATGTCTTGATTTAGACAAACACAAGAGACACCAGTTAAATCCCCAACCTGGGTCATCTTTGCCATAGTGATAACTGATCCTGAAACTGTTTTCTCAAATGACGTGTCAGAGAGGCATCTCCAGGGCAGAGTAGTACCATCGCTGGGCACTGTAAAAAGAGAGATGTACGGATCACTGATTAGGAATCCTAGTTTGATTCGATGGTGACTATGCAGTGTGGTGGTTGTGATCTAGTTATTTTGTGGGGATGGCCAACCCCCTTCTATGTCCCTACTTTCCATTTTGTCCACTCATGCAAGGCCAACCACAATCTCCCCCACCCCCTTAGTGTAAACTCAAAGTTGAACAGACCTAACGGGACTGTCTGAGCATGAGGAAAACATATGGGCAAAATTAGAGGCCAGGAATATTCAACCATTGTGTCAGTCTGAGTGACTGAACATCGACAAGAAGTTCACAAACATAAATAAACTTGAGCATGGACAGGGAGGGGCCATTGCCACATTACACTGAATACCAAAGTTTCTAATCACCCCAGCTGACCTGTTTGCAGATGACCACAATCACCTTTGAAGGTGCTACATAAGATGCCCTTCTGGCAAGAAGTTGGTAACAGCAGACAACCTACGGGTAATGGTTGAAAGGTGTGATTAAAAAGGCAGTAAGACTTCAGGAATCCAGAGTCCAAGGTTTGTTGCTTCTCTATAGATAAATTAAGTTTTAAAAACATTATTATCACATTTTGCTGTGCAGAGTAGTCTCTTGTGAAGAGAAGGTTCATCTGTTCCTTTTGGACAATAGTACTGAAAACTACTGTCTGAAATGCAGCCAAGTGGACACTGACTACCCTGATACCTGCCTGTCGTTATCAACCCAGAGGTATAAGGGGCTAGGATGTTCCTATGTTTATTAATGTATTTGCAATATTTTGACGATCCAGATTCCTGGTTTTAGGTTATAGCAACCTTAAAATAACTTGGCTACAGTAAGATGCCCTAAAAAGTGATTATCAACTGAGGCCAGCTCAACATGGCTTCTACAGACTCAGATATTGGGAGCCTCTCTCTTCACACACCTGATAGAGTTGTTGTCTATGGTCCGTATGGGTTTCTTTTCATGCCTCAGCTACAGTACTGTGCAGTATGCACACACAGTATGTCCAGCCATTGGATGGGAACTCTGCTAAATCTATTTTGGTGTCTATATACTATTTGTCAGCTACTGCAAACCACAGTGTCTTGTAAAGTTGAAGGATTTATTCTAAATCTGGTAAAGACTTTAAGGAAGCCAAGTAGCTCACTAGTCCCAGGTGCCACACATATAGTAAAATGAGAACATTCTCATGGAGAACCTTAACTTGACACCAGTCAAGCTGCCTCTTCAAATTTCTGCTTCTGAATTTTCTTTCTGTACTTCTAGTGTTACCTTCTGTGGGACATAAATTCATCTTGTCTTCTAAAAATGTATGTGTAAGGCTTTCTATCTGTGTCCCTTCATTGTAGGGTCAGACACCTAGAGACAAGGCTCAGCAAGCTGGGGACTCAGATCTGGCCTCCTACCTGGAGAGTCGTCAGAACTACCAGATGGTTTCCCATGAGGACCTGGAGACTGCAGTTTGATGTCCATGAAAGGGAAGAGAACCCTAGGAAATAACAAGGCTGCACCTGAGACACTCAGGCATTGTATGAGGAAGAAGCTGATGGAATCAACGTGTCTCTCGCTCTCATGCAAAATATCTGAGGACATGCCACCAGTTTCTAAGGGCTAATGAGTCTTGCCACGGAACTGTTGTGTTCCCATGTGGTGGCCCATTGGGGATGAGGTGAAACACTCAAAGGTCTGTGGAATCCATGGGCCACGGAAATTTACCCTTACTGCTTCCAGCAAGTAGCATGAACTTCTCCCATGTTCATCTGTACAATTTATTTAAAAAAAAAGAAAGAAAGGGAGGAAAAAACCAAACTAACTTGGACATTAATAAACCCAACCAACCCCTTCCTCTATTCCTACAGTGCCCTACATTCCTTCCTCTCCCATCCTACTCATTTGTCACCAATTAAATAATATCTGTTATCTCTGTATTAATTCTTCACAAATGGACAGGTGATAGGCAAGACTTTGAGGAGCTCTGGATGCCCTTAGAAAAAAATGACTTTTGAACCTGCTGAGTCCTCGCCTACTGTTCCCTCAGAAGTTGACTTCTCAGTGTTTAATTGCCAGGGAGTTTTTTTTCTCTTTTGGAACAAATTCTTTCTACTGCCCTGTTCTATGGGGTGCTGGATCTAGCTAGCTTCACAGCACTGACAAGAGCTAGCCTTCTATCAGTCTCTGAATATATCTTAAAGGTGTCCTCATGAAATGATATTTAAGTGGAAGGGAGTTGCTGTGTGACATTTTGTGTTGTCTTCTGACAGACCACATAGTAACCAATAAGATGTCTCATGTCGCCACCCTGCTGATAATGACAGACTGATTCTGCTCAGGTCTGAATCCTGCCTATAATTAGCCATTTGGGGCTTCTGTCAAGTTGTGTTTTTAAGATAGGGAGAGTTCAGAGTATGAGAGTTCAGAGCAGTTGTGGTTGACTGACTTACTTGTGCTGCCACTTTGACTTACTGACTCTTACAGTCCTAGGAAACCAAATGGAAAGCATCAGCTGTCTGTCGAGGCTTGCTGATATTAACAAGAGGATGAGCACCACATTAGACATTTTTAAAATAATAAAATTACAATGAAAACAGATGGGCAGATTCCAAGAGAGATTTGGAACAAAGCTTTAAAAGAGAGAGATTATCCTAGTCAAAAGAAGACAAATGTCAACCATTAGCCTCTCATTGCTCGCCATAGGGTTAAAAACATATATTGCTTAGCTGTTGTCAGGCAAGTCATGGTTTCTTTATTCTGCTCCTTACTTTCCTGACCCAAAGAATACCACCATCAAACAGGAATCCTCCACACCCCAAACATACTCACATATACACAGAAAACCTTAAAATGAACACTCTATCACTTATGGAATTCAGCTGTCAGCATTAAGGGGGCTTGCCCTTTTCCTTAGTCTGATCACCCCCATGAGAATTGTCAAGGTTCAATCCTGGCATCATAATTCCAACACAGTTTGTAATAGAAGATCCAGTTCTCTCTCTCTTTTCACATGCATTTGCAAGGTGTAGGTTTTTGATGGTTGGTGTTAAACAGGATCGGTGTACAGTTTTGAACCCAGGAAAACCCATCAGGTCATTTTCTTCCTTTAATAGCAGTTGTGGGGATGAAATTGATGTGATTCTGGTGAATTTTTCTCTCCACTTTTTTTTTTTTTTAAACAAGTGATTCTTTTGGCAGAGGAGGGGGAGCTGAATAATAAGCCTTTTCATTTACCTTGTTTTCAAAGCTCTATTCAATGTGAGCAAAATATTGTTCAGTATTTCTTCCGCTGAAAGAAGATTATATTTGTAATCTACAGATCAATGGCGACATGAAATGTATTTTGTCTTATTTTCTCTCTTCACTTTATCTTTCTTATTTAAAAACAAAAGGTTAAGGCTAAGTTCTTCCTTTGGATACTCATTCAGGGGTTTCCATGGAGGGCCAGTGTATACATACAAGGACAGAAAGCAGAGTAAAATTTCTCTTTGTGTGGAAACTTCCATACAAACAACCCTCCCCTTGTGGTGTCACTGGAGTCCTGGCATTATTTCCCAGCTGTGAGGAAAGGCATGCAGCTTTTTAGCTTTTGGTTGTGCATTCTGTATGTGAGAAATGGAGGAAGTGGGACTGGTACCTTGGGCTAAATTCTGACCTGTGCCAAGATGCACTTGGGGCATGGGATCAGGATGGTTGGTGAGCCAGTTACAGCTCCCTGATTCTCAAGCTTCCCTGGCCCAGGACCAGACATCAGTTAGAGCAGTTTAATGACTGCTCTAACTTACGACAGCTCATTGTGGTCCATAGGGAACCATACAGTGGCTGTGAATTACTGTAGCAGAGTTGAGCTCCACCCCTCCTGATCACAGATTTTCCTCTTCTCCCATGATGTGCCCTGAGAACTGGGAAAATGGTCGGCATAGCAGTTGGCTATTTACATCAGTTAAAAATTCTCCTCTGCAGGGAGAGTTTTCAACTTGGCATCTGCGGCCAGATACTGGCTCCTTTGTGCCATTCAGACAGTTTAAGGGAATCACAGAATATCAGAGTTGGAAGGGACCTCAGGAGGTCATCTAGTCCAACCCTCTGCTCAAAGCAGGACCAGTCCCCAATGTTTGCCCCAGGTCCCTAAATGGCCCCCTCAAGGATTGAACTCGCAACCCTGGGTTTAGCAGGCCAATGCTCAAACCACTGAGCTATCCCTCCCCTGGCCTTCTATTTTTCTCCTGCAGCTGGAAAATGATGCTATGACTAGAATGACACAGTTGTGCCTCTGGAAAGTTTTTCACTCTGAGAACTCTGTAGGAAGCAGTTATAATATGATGAAAACAAAACCCAGCACTGAAGATAGAACAGAACTTGACTGTCCACATAGTCAATAGTCAAGGTGTGCCAATGCACTTCAGAACCATGTTACATCCTGGAGGAATATTGATTACGTAGGTAAATAGAGCATATATTCTCTGCAATGGCTCTCTCTCAGCCTGGGATATCAGAACCTGTCTCATTGAGCGAGGGAACGTTGGGCTAGGACCCTAGCAGGGATTATTCCTTATTCTTTTCAAAGTGCCACAGGATCCTTGATTCTGGACAGTTATCAGAAGCAAGCAGACTGGGCATCAGTTTAATATTATACATGTGTATAGCACCTATGAGGGTTTGGTGTCCATCCTAGCACTGCATTGCAGTCTATGCATTGGGCAGTGCCCAAGTTCTAGCGTGGGGCTGGAAACCCACTTAAATTAAATTTAAATATTTTAATTTATTGAAATATCTTTACTGCAGGTTTGTTTTTTCCATGGAGCTATTGTTTTAGAAGTTTAAAGAATTTAGGGATGATCAACCATTGAGGTTGCTGGACTGGTAGAATATTAGTTACTCTGCCTGTACAGGGGTTCTTGCTGTAGAATGTAGCAGCTCCTGGATTGTTCCATTCTGAGTGCTGCACTGTCCCATTTTAAAGTGCAACTGAAGGGCAGAAAATATTTTTAATGTTAATAAAATAAACCATTTTGTTATTTAACAACTTTAGTTATTTTTGTTATTGCATATTTCAATGTTCTATAAATATCTCTCTCTATATATACATTATGTGATAAAACATGACAAGATTCTGGGTAACTATAGAATCCCTCAGGCATTGTTGACCACGTAGAAGGAAGGCGGCCATGGCAAGCAGTAGATTTCAAGGAAATTACAGCTCTTGGTTATAAAATGGAAGTTCAATATAAAATAACCCCTCAGCCCTCTGCATTTAGTGGGTGTTGTATGTGTGGGTATAGCATCAGCAATAGTCAGTGAAAATGTCTCAGTAATTGTACAGCTCACTCTGAACAGATTTGTGATAGCCAGGCTGAGCTCTAGGGACCATCTCACAGTTTGAGATCTGTCTGTCTAGATTCTTATGCTGACACCCCTCACCTTGTATCTCCCAAATGTGAAAACAATACCAATGGAATCATTCAATATCAATTCACAGTTCTGTAGCCTGGGTTTTGAACTGTTCATGGGCAGTTCTGTAATGCACAAGGAAGGGCCGTTAGAGCACCAGATACATAAAGAAAATAGAACAAAATAAATGTTTTGTTGCCATTGATCTTCACAATTGTATATGTGTAGCTGGTGCTAATTTGGATGAACAAGTGAGCACACAGTTTGGTGGTGGTGTGTTGCATTTAATCCTGGTATGTTTGTTTGAACTTTTTAATCATCCCTTTTGCTCACTTCTCTCTTCAACTTTGCTGTTTCATTGTTACAGTGACATGAATTGTAATGAATAGCATCAACACACCAGGTCTCACATAGACGGTGGCTTGTCAGCTGCTATTTTCTATCCAGCTATCCCAGATGCTGCACTTGGGTGCACTTAGGTGTTGATAGTTCCAATGCATCAAATTCATAGTGAGAAGAACTGTCAAAAAGTATAAAATGGGCAGGTAAATTGGTAGCCTTAAGCTCCCTGGGGCTTTCACATATGTAATGACACTCAATGAGTATATATGCATGCTGGATATTTGGATGCCTTGAAGACACTTTGAGAAATTCTGTCCAGCAGTCCTGTCCATGCCTCTTGGGCACTGCACTGATAAAATGATTCCTTCTGCTGATTCCTTTGAAGTTCATAATTTTCTCTTTCCCCATTTTTGCCTCTGGTTTTGGTCAGAATAAAGGGACACGGCCAAGTACTTTGTAAATTTGATGTTTAAGGTTTTACTTTCCATTGTTTGTAACAGCTCCCTTAGCACTTTGAGAATAGCATTTCTTCCTGCATTGTGTTTGACCTTTCCTATTTGTCAAATGGTACATTTCTCTCCTTTTTCTCTGGGAACACAAACCAACCTGGCAATAGGTTGTTAATTTCCTGGTTTGTCAAAAGCATCATCCAGGAGTGTCTTTAGTACTGCAGCATTTCTGGGTACAGTTTATTAGTAAATCCATGCCTTGCTGGTTGCCTCTGAACAGAACAAACAATAGTACAGGATTCAAACTGGTGGGTGTCTTCTCCTTTGATTTCTTAGTAACAGAATAGGCAATTGCTTTTTAAACACACCCATTTAAAATCTGGAGGAGCTCCCCAACACACTAAAGTGGATTTTAAAGTAGGTCCAATAATGTGCCAAAAGTTATTTAACAGTGGCACATCTAAGTCTAGACTTTTAAATGTTAGGAAAAGATTCTCGAGATTCTGTGCTGCAACTCCACCAGGCAGTGCAAATGGAAGGCTCTGCTGAGTAGGGAGAAGGGTCTTAAAGGTAGCTTTAAGCTGCCCTGCCATGGCTCCCAGAGTAATTTAGAGCAATGACTGGCTATTATAAGTTACAGTACCCTTTCTCTGGTCTATCTATGGGCTGCTTTGTAGCCTGCAGTTGCTGAGAATTTCTGTAGCTGTATGAGCTAGAGGGACTCCCCTCCTGCCTCTGGCATGCCTCCTACATTAGGGTTTGTGATGGGGTCTGCAGAGAGAAGCCTATGTCTGTCCTAGATACTGCATGTGTCAGAGGAATTTTTACCCTGCTGGCTAAAGGCTGCCATAGTGGCAGGAAAAAATCCCTCCCTCAGGCCTGACCCTGCCCAAGGAAAGTAATTGCCTTTGACTTCAATGCGCACAGGATCAAGCCTCTGATGATTAGGCAGACTAAGTGCTGAATAATCTCATTTCATAAAGCAATCAGGTTGCATCTTACAGCCAACCTTTTCTATAAACTGATATATTCCAGCCCAAGGTGATGTCTTTCATTTCTTGCATGGTAAAAAGAGAAGAGTCTTTCCCACAGAGGGCACATATATCCAGTTAGCAAAAGGGAGGCAAGGAGCCAGCATACTCCTCTTCTATACGTGCTTTAATAATACCCATCCAGATGCAGCATCTGGAGTCTTTTGAGATGTAAAGGAAGGAATCCTTTTTAACAAAAGTGCTCTTTGTTTTAACATGCACACCACAATAGTTCAGTGAAAGATTTGATTTTTAGCCCACTGAAATGTATCCAGTTATGGTTGGACATCCCCCAATCCCAGAGAAGTGTGAAGACCTGAAGGCTAGATATTTTTCAAAGAAAAATAGACATGGCAGAGATAAAATAATGGGAGAACAGAAAATTCACTCAGAAATATTTTCTACAGCAATTGGTTTCCATTTTCTTGCCATCATCTTACAAAGACAGAAGCTGAATTGGGAGTGCTGTATTACAATTGTGTAATGATAGTTTATCAATGATTTAGCAGCTCAAACTTTCATATGTACAGTAAGGAGATGTACATTCTAAAATACAAGAAATAGACACCATTCCTTTAAGTAATATATCACTAATTATATAATTACTGTATTAGAGCCAGATTCTGTTATTCTTACTCACATTGAGTAATACCTGATTCCACAATTAGTCCCATCCATGAGACTACTCCAGGAGTAAAGGTCTACTCACTGTGAGTAAGGTATCAATATCTGGCCCTTACACAGCACTGATAATTCAAAAGTACTTAAGAACTAAGACATGTCTAATAACAAATTAGTTGAACAGATAAATTTCAAAGTAGCAGTTGTGTTAGTCTGTATCTGCAAAAAGAAAAGGAGTACTTGTGGCACCTTAGAGGCGAACAAATTTATTTGAGCATAAGCTTTCGTGAGCTACAGCTCACTTCATCGGATGCATGCAGTGGAAAATACAGTGGGGAGATTTTATGTACACAGAGAACATGAAACAGTGTGTATGGTACATTGTTTCATGTTCTCTGTGTATATAAAATCTCCCCATTGTATTTTCCACTGAATGCATCCGATGAAGTGAGCTGTAGCTCACGAAAGCTTATGCTCAAATAAATTTGTTCGCCTCTAAGGTGCCACAAGTATTCCTTTTCTTTTTGAATAGATAAAAATGGGCATCTATTAATTTGCAAAATTCCAGTATACTATGACAAGTGCTGTATCATACAGCAATAATTTAATTAATATATGAACCATAGTAACACTTAATCCTTAGTATATGCTTAAGGGCATCCTGGTTCTAACTGCCTTAATGTCTGTTAATTATCATATTTCTCTAGAGCCTTCAGTCTAGAGGGAAGAGGGTTAATGCATTTCTAATTCCCATCTAATCTGTAGGAAGTAATGTTATAGTTACAGAGAAAAACAAGACGTTCTTGTACTGAAAATACCAGACACAGGAGTTACTTATCTGGTTACTATGACTCTAATGAACAGTTTCATTTTTCTAGGGTATGTTTTATTCCATGGAATGCTATGATATTTGAGGTAGGGGTGGGAAAACTAGAGCTGAAGTTAAATTTGATACATATTAGGACACCCTGAAGGATGGATGTCAGTTGAAGGCCATAGACAATTTTTTTTGGGGGGGAGGAGTGAGAGGTAAAAAAAATACAATATAAGCCATTGAATATCACTGGAATGAGCAGTTTTGTAGCATGACTAAATTTGTCCACTTTTAATAAAGTGGGAACAGTGAGCTGCTGTTCTGAGCTCAGTGTTTTCTCTCTTTATTAATGCAATCCCTACATTATTTTTTTGGGGGGGAGGGGATGGACTAAAGTTCTGCTTGTCTATGCTCTTGCAGTCCAAAAATGCATGAAATTCTCTGTTTTCAACTCCTGAGATCTTTGCAAATACTGAAGAAAAGCTGTAAATTGGGCAATAGTCAATTTTGGATATTCCCCCCCTTTCCCCCCCCCCCGCATTGCCAAGGAGTTTTTCCCCATAAAGATTGCTGACAATGCCATCCTGAAACAAACTGCTATTTTTCTCATTTGCTGCAGACCAAAAGACAAACACCCCTCCCCCCACCCTTCTTCAGTCACTTTTCATCATTTTTTTTCATGATCACAGAGAGGTTTTTTATGTCTGTTTTAATAGGAAACAGACCTATATGTGCACCTGGCAATTGGTCCATCGTGGTTCATTGCTTCCTTGTGGGCTTGCCATTACCATGGCAACATTCCTTCTGTGCAAGGCATTCTGGGGGTATGCATCAGTCCCCGAGCCTGTAGTGAAAGTGGGATAGGTAGCAGTAAGAGCAGGCAGAGAATGGAAAATAATTTAAGGTGAGCTTATTTTAAACTCTTTCAGGCTGCTTTTTGCTTTTCTCCCTTTGCCCTCCGTCCCATGCCCATTTCTTCTTCCTTCTCTTTCCTTTATTACCTCCATCAGATTTCTTTCCATTCAGTCATTCCCAACATACTGCTGTTTCTCTCCTCCCTACTTCCTGCTCACTTTATTTGTGCTGAAAAGGCTTCTCCTGATACGATATACTGTGCTCTGCTACCTTCTCTGTGACCCCTCTGCATGTCCAGCATCACAGAGAGGTTCCTGCTAGATAATCCTTCCTGGGGCACTTTTGAGTAGTCAAGACCTGCCATGAGTAGAGCGGTGGATCTCTGAAATACCATTCATGGGCAGGGCTCTCAAGCCAAGAGAGCAGTCCCTAGTGGTGGAATGAAGCAGGAGGAATTTCCATCATGTGTCAAGATTAAGGTGTATGAGGACAGGAGCATAAACTGTGGGGATAGTTTGCACTTATGGTTTTGGTTGTGATATGTCCATCATTTAACCTTAAATGTGGAGTAAATGAAAAGCATTCTCAATTAGTTGTGTTTTCCCCGACTGCGACGCCTCCACTGGCTCCACTTTATCCCACTGAAGAATTTTGCCTAGGACAAATAATTGTTTTGTTCTTTGAAGGTTTTGCAGGATGTTCCAACTTCTTCCAAAAGATTAATGGCCATGGAGTTTTTGGATGAGCAGGGGTTGGTTGGGCTATCAAACTGCCCCAACTTTCTTCTTCCCCAATCATTTCCTTTCTCAATAGTTTCTCAGTATGATGAAAGTCCTGTCTCTGCTCAGCCTGCGACTCACAGAATCATAGAGAGATGGAAAAGACCTATAAGGGCCTCTAGTATCCATTCACATGTACTGCAGAATGGTTCCCTGCCATACAGCTGACTCCTTAAATCACTTAACAGTGTTGGGGGAAAGGAAGTGAGAGGCTGAGCCTGCAAAATGGTGAGCAACTCCTGCAGGGTGCTGAGTACTCTGAACTCCCACTGAAGTCTGTCTAATCATTGTTTTTCTGTCTGATCTATATCAAGACTTCATAGAACTGGGTCCTAAATGTGCAGAGAAACCCACAGGCCGTGCACCAATGCTGCAGGGGGAAGTGAGCTTTCTTCAGAGACTCCCCATCCCAGAGATGCCACAGGGAAATGGCTTTGAGTCTCACTTTAAATGCCACAGTTAAATACTTACAGCTCCAAGTAAGTCTTTTTTTCACCCTCCTTACTGGGAGGTCTTCCAAGATCCTTATATTTTCTTTTCTACTTTCCCTGGTAATGGGGAAACCTCTTCTGGTTGAGGAAGTTTTGCACCTAGTTCTCTCCCAACTCCACAGCTCTGAATTCTCCCTCGTAAATGTTGGCACTCAAGTGACATCTTCCACCACCAGGAGTTGAGCATTCTGCATTACCCCCTCTTCTGATGGAAAATTGAATAGTCATAGGTTAAAGTACCTTCCTAAAGGAGGCTATAACTTTGTCATTGTAATACAACTCCTAGCATATCACTCCTTGAAGCTCAGCAAGGTGGAGAGCCATCTTTGGCTGCTTGGTATGAGATGGAATGTGCACTAATGTTCTCCAGCTTATATTAGTGACTGTAAACAGACCACCAGAAAACTTGTTCATGTGAGGCACCTGATTGTAACACCTTCCTGACTTAACAGTGGGAAATCTTCAGCCTGGTAGGAGGTGAATTTTGTGGGCTGGGCTTCCATACCCACTGGGCAAACTTTCCAACTATCTATGGAATTTCAGTATTGCCTTTTAGTCTGTGAATAAACCTTATTGCTGCAAATGACAGGTTTTTTGTTTTGTTTAGTAGTTTTTTAAATCTAATACTTTGCTTCTGCACAGCTTTAGAGATGCAATGAATTTTCTGCCTTGCACCATGTTAAAGAGATCACGTTATGGGCACAAGTCGTTTGATATGGACAAAAACACCCATCTAAATAGTCATAAAACTCTTGTTACATGTTTATGAGAATGTTGTGTCTATAGGAATTGCTGACTTTTTATAAGACTGTCCACAAGTAGCTCAGTGGGAGTTTTGTCTGAGCAATGACTTGTGGATTTTACCCATGGTTTTGCTACAGTACCCCCAAAGAGTTTACATAGGAATTAATCCTCATGTTAATTATATGTTTGTGCCTCGTGTATTTAAGTCTAGATAACCATGTGTTTACAAGGTTATTCCACATTACTGAGAATGCATTTATAGTAAATAATAAGTAATCAGCATGTCTTTATAGAGAGGCATTGTGGTCCAATAGATATGGCAATTGACTGGGAAACAGGAGAGCTAGGTTTTATTCCCATCTTTGCCATTGAGTCACAATGTGATGTTGGGCAAGTCACTTAACCTCTCTGTGCCTCAGTTTCCCCATCTGTAAAATGGGGATAATAATTCTTATCCACTTTGGTAAAGCACTTTGAGGTTTATTGATGAAAAGTGCTATGTAAGTGCTACATATTATTAATCATTATTACAGTTCTTCATTGTGCCTTGCAAAGTTTGTCCCATTTAGTATCCTGCTTCTTTTGGTGCCACAATTTAAAGGAAGAGGATTAGCATTGTTCTATGTTTTTATTTTATCTTAGTGTAATTGATGTAGAAAATAGTGTTGGAAGATGACAAGTTCCTGGAAAGGAGATTTGCACTTTTCATGCTTGATTTCAATGTTTAAAATATTGCATATTAAAATGTTTACTCAGGTGATGTTTCCTTTTGAATTAGGGTATTCAGGTGGTCCTCTCCCTCCACACACCCAGTTGACACACTAGATATATTTTGCCAAACTCTAGAACATCTGTGTTTCTTAGCATTAAGAGTTCGCCGATCACAGGCTGTCTCTTTTTTGGGGGGTTGGAGGGGAAAATGTCTGAGAACCTTCCCCCACCCCCGTTGTTTCTACCCCACCATCATAGGTGTCACAGCATCCCTTCCTCTAGTCAAGGAGTACTGAACGCTGCACCCTTTGGAGCCTGGTGCTGCAACTTTCTGTTAGCCTGAGAGGGTTGCTGGAGAAAGATGTAAGGCATTCATTGTCAACTGCCTACCCACCCTAGGGGGCTGATTTTTATGCTCCTGCCACCCAGGGAGTGAGGGATGATACATGAACCAGAATGAGGATAGTAAGTAATGGAACACAGAGAACTGAGTATCTCTTTTCCAAAAAGGGACAAGACTGATCTAATGCAAAAGTACACTTGGGTTTATCAGACAACCGGGAGGTATGGTGGTTATGGTGAAAGGGCTGAGATTTCCAGAAGGCAATATAGTGGGTGTTCATTTACCCCTGTCAGGGAACTGTGATAAATCGAAGCCTGAGGGCCAAATTCCGATCTCAGTTACACCTGTATAAATCTGGAGTTACTCTATGGAAGTCAGTGAAGTCACTCAAGATTAATGCCAATGTAACAAAAAATCAGAATCTGGACCATTGTCTTCTAATATAAAACAATAAAGCCAAGGCATAAACATCCATCTTCAGCCAGCATTTCATGGGCATCCAGAGTTCCAGTATTTGTAGATATCCTGTATTCAAATCCACATCTGTTCCAGGAGTTGTAAAAACATCACAAAGGGCTCTTTTATGCTGTCTGACCCCACTGCATAATGCCCCAGAGCCGTGCACCACCAGGAACGTGCCAGCTGGCAGATAGAATCCAAGCAAAGCAGCAGTGAGGTGACATGTTTAACAAAGGATCAGGGTGCAGTGGAGAGGGATGGCAGGGGGAAAGAGGAAGGGGTTTTTTTGTAATAAAGTGACAAAGTATTTTCTTCCCTACTTTTCTTGCAGTTCCTATTTATACAAAGTATCTTGATCACTGTGTTGCTAGAAAGAGGTTTTAAATGTGAGCCAACCAGAAAGCAAGGGAAACCTGTAAACAATGAAATTACCAGTTGCAATTACTTTTGGACACCTTTTCTGTATCGTGACTTGTGTGGAAATGTACAGAATAAAAGTGAAGAAGCTCACTCATTGATTGGGCCAAGTTTCCTTGTGTTATTCCAGTGAAGCCAGGTGGCTGCCGCTGTCAGTGCTGCAGAACGATTTTGAGATTCAAAAGCAGTAGAAAGCTCATGAGGCTGGGCAAGAGGTTGTGAGCGTTGTTTCATTAGCGAAGAGTGAAGCTGAAGGCAGCTTAAGTTGAACAAGTGGAACTCTACTAAATCCTGTGCACTGCTCTGTCCATGTGATTGCATTACTTCCAGCCCCATTCCTCGCATTCCCTGTTTTCCAAGTGTTCCTCAGTAACTGTTGCTCCAGGAACCTGGGGGCCTCTCACTCCAGTTCCACTGGTTGGGACACAGTGAGGGATCAGAAACTCATATTTTGGAGTATTGGGCTTGAGATCAACCCCTGTTCCAAACTGAGTCAGAAAAGGCTGCTTATATAATTTTCCCTTGTGGTGGCATAAGAGGTTAGTGCACTAGCCTTTCACAAATCTTTTTGGTGTGATCATGCTTGTCCCTTGTTAGTGCACATCACAAAACCCCCAGTGTTCAGCTTGCCTGGCAGGCTGCTCAAGAGAGACTAAGCAGGACTGAGGTGCATGGGCCGATATGTCAACTGGAGGTGGTGCCCAAAGAGCCCAGTTTCCAAAAGCTTCGTGCTTGTGACCCGCCCCCAGTTTCCAAGAGTAACTCAGGGAAAGCAGGTTCTCCATTTAATAATGTTTTGGTTGCTAACCCAGGGACACCTATCGGGTCTGTTTTTTTCCAACCAACAGGAGTCTCTGTGGTGGCCGGCGTTTGCTCTCCTGTCCTGCACCGCTCCCCTCCATGCTCCAGTCAGCAATCTCTATTCGCTTTAAGCCAGAGGGCTTCAGTCTCTGTATCTCTCTCCTATTTCATCCTGAGTTTTGTAAGGCATCCTCTCTTCTCCCTTCGTGAAATTGTATTTGGGGGGCTTCTGCCTCCTCCGTTG